TCCTGGCTCCCGCACAGCCTTCCCGGGCTGCGCACCCGCTTCCCCCGCAGGGTGCACTGGTGACAGGGCCTCCCCCTCTCCCCTCCAGCTCCCCCGACAAAGGGCTGCAGGTGACTCACTGCGGCCTCCTCCCGCGGCGGATCCCGTTGGCCGGACGTCCAAGTGCAGGGGAGGGATGGTGGATCTGCACTAAAAATGCAAGGAGGCCCATAACGTGGACGCTTGCTTGGAAACGTAGCAGCTGTGCTGTTTTCTGTGGTCACGCCACCCTCCCCTGCGTAGACCCCACAGCAACTCCTCCTGAGCATCTGAGGCTCTTCCCTCTGCCCACACCTCCCTTCCCTGTCCCTTCCTCTCCCCTCCTCTCCGCCCTGACAACTGAAAACGACATCATCAGGACACAGCCCGCTCGCAGGAAGTACCTGGACCGCTCGGCCTCCTTGAATGTCCTGTGGGTCTCTGCTGTCCTTTTTACAATGGAGCCACCTTGGATAGGCGGCGGCCCCAGGATGGCAGGGGGCAGCAGCACAGGGCCTGCAGGCAGCCTGTGATCCTCCTCTTCACCGCCTTCCAGCCCCGCCTCCCACTGCGGGCCAGGGCTTCCTTGGCCCACAAGCTGGAGTGGGAGGCCCCAGGACTGGGCTGGCAGGCTCTGCTGAGGATCCCAGGGCTCAGTGGGCAGTGTAGGTTGGGAGATACAGGGTTGGGCTGGCAGGACACACTGCGAGCGGGGATCCTGGAGATGGGAAGGAGGGGCAGGGAGCCTCTGTCACCCTGCTGCCCTGGAAGCTTCACCCCGGGGAAGAGGGGCCCCGTGCAGGCAGCAGGCTCGCTGGCCCTCCTTTTTGGGAGCGGAGAGGAGGGGTCCTGATCTGGGGAGGATGGTGGCACTTTCTTTGCATCCACGTCTTCAGCTGGATGCAGAGGCTTCACTTGAACTCTGATGCCAAGCCCCCGGAGTGCCTGCCCCTGTAGCAGCAGGAAGGTCACCATCTGTTGGTTGAATTTCTTATGCCTCATAGCATCGATGACTTTCAGTGGGTTATACCCCATCCCAGCCATGATGTTCAGGATCAAGGTCTTCGTGCTCTTGGGGAGTGTCTTCAGGGGACGACTAGGGGAAGGTGCACCGCAGAGCCACCCGTGCTGCAACACCTGGCTTAAGGTAGGGCGCATGCTGGGGTTGGGGGTGAGGAGCTCTGAGATTAAGCTTTTCAGCTCTGTGGAGAAGAAGGCGGGGAAAATGTATCTTCGTCCCAGGGCCTTCTGTATCACCTGTTGTTTCTTTCCAAGAAATGGGCGGTACCCAGCTACCATCTCATATAAAGTAATTCCGAGAGACCAAGCGTCCACTGGTGGGCCTTGGTGTTTTTTTTTCAAGAAGACCTCAGGGGCACAGTAGTATAATGTGCCCCCAGGTGCGGTCACCTTCTGGCTGGGCTGGAACCTGAACCCCAAGCCGAAGTCACTGAGCTTGGGGTGGCCCTCAGTGTCCATTAAGATGTTTCCTGGTTTGAGGTCCCCGTGCACAATCCCCAGGTCATGGCAGTACTGCACGGCCTCCACGAGCTCTCGGAACAGCGCCCGCGCCTCCTCCTCCAGCAGCCTGCCCCTGCCAGTCTTGGCGATGTACCGCCACAGGTCTCTCCCCCTCACGTACTCCAGGACCAGGAGTAATTCACGCTCAGTTTCGAGTACTTCTAATAGCTGGACAATGTTGGGATGCTGGAGGTCCTTTAGGATCTTGACCTCTGATGTTGTGGAGGTCAGCTTCAGTTTGTTCTTCTCCAAAACCTTTACCGCCACCAGCATCCCTGTGCCACGATGTTCTGCCAGCAGTACGGTGCCAAAGCCTCCCCGGCCGAGGGGGCGCAGCACTGCGTAATCTTTCATGACGCTGCCTCTGTGGGACCCGGTCTTGAGGACCCGCCATGATGTTCCCTCGCCACACTCACCACCCACACTGGACATCACGCTATAAACAAAATCTATACTCTCCACACCACCAAATCAATCACCAACCACACTCCGCGCACAAATCCCAGATCACCCGCAAGAGATCTCTGGGATGAAAACCCCAGCCAAGCCACAGCTGTATATACAGCTAAGCGCTGTGACCTCACACTGGCCCCTGTGCAGTCACAGGACTGATGGGCCCAGGCACAGCCGGCCACCTCTACCTTGGCCTCCTCACTCTTGGCTGCAAGGACCTCCTGTTTTTCATCAAAAAGTAAAAGCTTACAAAATTTCTAATGTGGGTTATAGAGGTTGACACTTAGGTTTGTAGAAAGTAAAACCTGTAGGATGCTTCAAAATCCTTTTTTGTTTCTGTTCTGAGAATCTATAATACCTTTTCTTTTTAAAGATCTTATGATGTCTACACTCAACATATCCAATTCTTTTTTCTGTAGATACTCACTGGTCTCAAAGTGATGTTACAACCTCACATTAGAATAATGTAATGTTCTGTGTACAAAGCACAAACATCTAATGTAAGGTAAATGAATGCCTGTGAAGCTGACAGGAAAATATCTATCATCATCAGTTCCCCAGAAAGACAACCATTAGATTTATAGTCAAAAGCCTTGGAGTGCAACAGCAAATGAAACACCACAACAACACCCAGGATTTGGAGGCAAATTTATTTACTTCGATGGACACTGACTAGGATCATTCTCAGAATGTCAGGCTCTGATCTCTGGTGGTGTAGGGCTTATATGGGATAAGCAAGCAGGAGGAACAGAGGCAGAATGGCTTGCCAATTGGTAATTGGTTTATACAATGTGCATCACAGTGACCAGCTATGCATCACAGTGACCAGCCGTTTCTAAGAGACAGGAGCAACTGGATCTGGAATAGGAACTATTTATTACCCAGGCAACTAACAAACTGAAGTATACTGCAGCGGGGGAGGGGGATAGTTTCTCTTAGAGGTGGTCAGAAGGAAACAGGTTGACATGTGCTGTGTTGAATGAAATAGTGAAGCAAAAACAAAAAAACAAAAAAACAAAAAACCCTCTCAACTAAGCTTTCTACATCCAGCAAAATGAGGGAGAAATTCAGCCATTCCTAGATACAGGCATGGAGGGATGTAGTTCCTTCCTACTAGGTCTTGGTAGAGGGCTCCATCAGATTGAAATGAAAGACTCAGGTGTGGTGGCATATGCCTGTAATTCCAGCACTTGGGAGGCTGAGGCATGAAGATTGCTGTGAGTTCAAGGCCTGCCTGGGCCAAATAGCAAGACCCTGCGTCAAAACAAAAAAAGAAATTTGGCAGGAACTCAAAGCTGTCTAAGAAGTAACTCTGTTAAAGCTGAGTAGGTGGACATTTATGAAAATAAGGACTAGTTTTGTTTTCTACATGGTAGAGGCTCATGTGTCAAAAAGAAAACAACACACCCAATAGTACTATATTTGCTGAAACACAGTGTGGCACATGTGGATGAAACTACAAATCACTCACTGTGTGGGTGAGTGATTTTCTATGTGGCTATATTTAGCTGCCCAGATTCACACCAGCATGGCATGGTCTTAGGGTTTTCAATGTAATGCCCATGACATTCTCAATGAAAATATTTATAGCTTTTACACAGATGAGAAACCCACTGACTCCAAAAAGAACGACTCAAAGACAGCAGTGCAAATTTGTAACTGCTAAAATGTGGAAGCAACCCAAATGTCCATCCAC